AAGAATTAAAATGTATGGGGAAATTAAAATAGGAATTGGAGAATAGAACATGAGCACACAGGTGATCTGGTTTCTGTATAAGCATATGGTTCATTGCAAGTGGCATTATAATTAGTATGGAAAAGGATCTTTTGAGAAGTGAATAAAGAGAGAGTGAACAGGGCATTCAATTAAAAGATTAAAAGATTAGTGGTAATGTACTAAAACTGTAACTCAAGTATGCATGATGAATACATGCAAGAGGGGGACTACTGTATGTCAATAAACCTGGAGCCTATATTAAGGGTGGTCCTTGTAAGGAATGATTCCAACAGCTTATTTATTATTCATAATAGAAAGGTAAAAAATTGGAGATAAATTAGAGCCTAAATAATGAAAAGTAAAACATTTTTTAGAAGTAAAAAATAAAGTAAAAAATTGATGAAAACTATATCGATTATAAAAATTATAAGAATTAAAATGTATGGGGAAATTAAAATAGGAATTGGAGAATAGAACATGAGCACACAGGTGATCTGGTTTCTGTACAAGCATGCTGTTATATGGGGCTAGGGCTGATATTAAGTGCTTGTATAAGACCTGTGCTCGTGGTGGTGGACACGGGATGTATAAGAGGCCAATTTATCCGTATGTCCAGAGCCCTGAGTGGGCATCAATGGGTTATAAATTGGTAAAAATTTACAATTCCTCGTTTAATCCTGTTGGAGCAAGGGTGTTGAGTTTGTAGATCTAAAAAGTTTCTTGTCTACATAACTTTTGGAAACGCTCGGCTGGGGAAAAGTGGTCAGGAATATGTTCTATGGCAAAAACACGTAAATCCTGTGTGCGTTTGCCGTGTTTTATGGCGAAATGTCTGGGGACGCTATGGTCACAGTTGCCTTTGGCCATAAAGCGTCTGTGGTCCCCTATCCTTTTTCTTAACGGGCGGATGGTGCGGCCAATGTATAATAAATTGCATGGGCATTTTAGACCATATACTACATGGTCGTGTGAGCATGTGATAAACTGTTTTATGGAGTAACTGTTGTCTAGGTTCCTGAGAGCCCGTAACCTTAAGAACAAAATAGCACCAAGCAGGATAACGACTGGGCACTCTAGTGACACACTACACCAGAAATTTGACAACAGAGTGGGGAACCATCAATGCAAAAAACCTTGTTGCCTCACATGCCAGTTTATTACCCAACAGTTACTCCATAAAACAGTTTATCACATGCCCACATAACCATGTAGTATATGGTCTAAAATGCCCATGCAATTTATTATACATCGGCCGCACCATCCGCCTGTTAAGACAAAGGATGGGGGACCACAGACGCTTTATTGCCGAAGGCAACTGTGACCATAGCGTCGCCAGACATCTCACCATAAAACACGGCAAACGCATACAGGATTTACGTGTTTTTGCCATAGAACATATTCCTGACCATTTTTCCCCAGCCGAGCGTTTCCAAAAGTTATGTAGACAAGAAACTTTTTGGATCTACAAACTCAACACCCTTGCTCCAACAGGATTAAACGAGGAATTGGAAATTTTAACCAGTTTATAACATATGATACCCACTCAGGGCTCTGGACATACGGATAAATTGGCCTCTTATACATCCCGTGTCCACCACCACGAGCACAGGTCTTATACAAGCACTTAATATCAGCCCTAGCCCCATATAACAGCATGCTTGTACAGAAACCAGATCACCTGTGTGCTCATGTTCTATTCTCCAATTCCTATTTTAATTTCCCCATACATTTTAATTCTTATAATTTTTATAATCGATATAGTTTTCATCAATTTTTTAGAATATTTTTTACTTCTAAAAAATGTTTTACTTTTCATTATTTAGGCTCTAATTTATCTCCAATGTTTTACCTTTCTATTATGAATAATAAATAAGCTGTTGGAATCATTCCTTACAAGGACCACCCTTAATATAAGCTCCAGGTTTATTGACATACAGTAGTCCCCCTCTTGCATGTATTCATCATGCATACTTGAGTTACAGTTTTAGTACATTACCACTAATCTTTTAATCTTTTAATTGAATGCCCTGTTCACTCTCTCTTTATTCACTTCTCAAAAGATCCTTTTCCATACTAATTATAATGCCACTTGCAATGAACCACCCAGGGTTTTGATGCCCACGCTCCGTTTCTACAACAATAAACTATTGGTTTTCGTTTCCCTAAATTTCTTATTCATAGTCTCTTAAATCATTTAACCCCCCAGTCCATCTTCATGGCCCATACGGAACCCGCAAACATACACCGAGGCTGAACAGATTCAAATCGCGGCTTTGCCGCTCACTGCCTCCAAACTCAGCCCAGCTGTCACATTAAAACCGGCGGATTCCCGCCGCTGTTATACCATTTCCATTGAGCTTGATAAAGAGGTTGTATCCTCGAAACGCGTTGCTCCCGATCCTCCACCCACGACCACTCTTCACCCTGCTATCATCCCGGCCGACTTTCATCCAACATCACCATCACGGCCCGGGCACAGGTCAAGTCTCAGTCCACATACAGATCGAGCCTCTCCCCCCGCAGCTGCAGCCACAGCAGCCCAGCCAGACGCTACTCCGCACATCGCCTGCACTTCCCATCACAGCAGCGGGGACACGGACGAAATTCGTGTGTCACTACCCGCTCCCCCGTCCACCCCTCTCTCCTCTCTCCTCACCATCGCTTCCCTCCTTGGGATGAGCAGCCCCAGGCAGCATACCAGCCTTCATTGATTATACACCTTGGACTTCACGATCCTCCCCACAGACCGGTCCTCATCTGGCCCTGTGATCCACTCAAGTAAGTGCTTCATCTCATTCCGTTTTCCCTCTCACAATGTCTAACTTAGCTACAGTATATAGCCCCTTCAGCTTTGCGCCCTCACGTTTGTCCTTTTTGTTTTCACAAGCACAGGTACTCCTCCTGTCTTCCAGGGCCGCAGGCTAGGTAGAGTTACATAATTAATTTCCCCAGATCCTATCCGAGAGTGCTGTCCATGCTATCTTTGTGAAAACTGTAAATAAGCGACTTATGTTAAAAAATAGTTTTTACGCTGTGTTGGTGTTTGTGTTGTAATTAAAATAATACAGGCGTATATTTAATTGCAACACAAAGATCACAACACATGGCAATGCGTCACAAAGCTTTGCCATGTGCTGCCAGTTAATTACATTTTTTTTAAAAGAAAAAAATACATTAAAAAAATCATGCACTGTGATGCGTTCTAACAACGCACTGCAGCGCATGTGCATGGCGTACACCTCAATATGTGTATGTTATGTGGGTGGAGGGAGGGGTTGTGCTTTTTGTTATTAGTTTTTTGTACACATTTTTTTTAATAATTACATCTTTTTTATTTATTTTTTTATTTTTTAACATTTTCTATTTATTTTTTAATATTTTTTTTTACTGTTGGGGGGCTGCTGTGAAATATCTGGGGTCTAAATAGACCCCTGACATTTCCCTTTTAACTTAGAAAAAGAAATTGAGGACATAGAGTCCTCAATTTTCTTTTTCTGCAGCCCCAGCGCTCAATGAATGGGAAGCACTCAGTATAGAGGCTCCCCATTCATTCCGAAACTGATGATAGCAAAATATTTACTATCACCAGTTTATGAATGTGGAGGAGCCTCTGTAGTGAGTGCTACTCCCCATTCATAAATTCTTGAATGAACAGGAAGTGATAGCGTTAATAGCGGATAACTATTAATTTGAAGGGGACAGTCCGGGGAACTGTTCTAGTATAAGCTCATGGTCGCTAAAGCGACCATAAGCTTATAGCAGAACTGTAAATGCCATGTACGTCCTTGGCCAGCCAGGAACACTTTTGTGCCTCCGTATGCCATACATCCTTGGCAGGGAAAGGGTTAAGGCTTGGTTATTTACTCCACCACTTCCCCCGAATGCTCTCACTATATAGCACATCTACTGCCAGAAAAGACAAACATGTGCTGCCTCTGAAAGGTGCGAACCTGCTTGCCCCCCCACTAGTTGTGTGTAAAGAACCTCTGCCTCTCCCTTTAGGCCTGCCATTGCCTAATTTTATTAGCAGCTAAGGCAATAGAGGGATGGTGGATATGGAACTGTGGTGCACTACAGGGCGGCGTTGCTGCCTTGCCTAGGGCAGCAGCAGAGGTAAATACACCGCTGGGTGCACTGCACAATCTGGTGATTTGATACAGTAAACTGGACCACAATTATAATTGTGGTGATGTCCTGCTAACAAACAGCAACTTTGCCTGTGTCACGAAGTTCACTCTGCACAATAAAAGGTAGAGCTATCAAGGACTGTTGGGTACTGTGCATACAATGGGTGGTACACACTACATTTACAGTAATGGAGCACTAAGGGTTAATACAGGAGGTACACTCCACTCTCTGTAACCCACTACACTGCAATTCACTGTAATGTAGCAGAAGCACTATACATCACTGTATAGCTCTGTAAGTAGCACTGTACAGCAGATTCTATCTCTCCCTGAAATCGCTTTGACTGTTAGCTCTCTCCCTAGGTCATCCAGCTCCAATACACACTGACAAACAGCTGATGGAAGAGCTGACATTTGCCAACCCCTATAATTGGCCATACTTTGCCATCTGACCACAGTTTACAAATCAGGCAAAGTATTCTGGAGATTCGCATTTGGTGCTAATGTACCCCGAAGTTAAACCCTGGATCAGCACAAAGTTTGCATTTTGTTGAAGTCTTGTTTACACCTTATACTTATTAGCTTTTATAGTCTACCCTAAAGTCTCATAAATCCTTTTGTCTAGACACATTAAGCTTTCATTTGGGAGCATATGTTTCATTTCCTGGCTTTTAAATAGGAAGAAATTGTGACAAGTTATAAAACAACTGCATAAAAGTCCCCCAAAAATTGCCCTTGCGTGTTAATGTGGAGTACATTTTTGACTGATTCATAAAAAAAAAAAAAATAGGATAAGAAATTAGTGCATTTAAAGGTATTTAATTTTCAGAGCACAAGACTATCACAGTAGTTTTATAATTGAAAAAATACCTTCTCAAGGTAGCTGAATTCTACTGCGGTCTCCCTGAAGAAAAAATACACATGATCTTTCCATTCCACAGCATTGACAAAATACGGATCTAGAAACAGAAACAGACTAATTAGATACAAGAAACAACAAATTGGCACTTTTAAAAGTATTAGGACAACCTGTTACTATTCTATATAATTGAAAGGAAAGACAAGATATCCATTATTTTAACTGTATAATAACATAACTATCTACAATGTTAAAACCTTAATTTCCCCAACATGATACATAGTAAAATCTAGGGATGCACCGAAATTTTGGCCGCTGAAATATTTTACCCAAAAAATGCACTTTTGGCAAAATACTGAACAAGCCATCTTCCAGCCGAAATTGCGGTGCATGCCTGGTTTCTCTTCTCCCCTTTGACACAGCGCAGCATCCAGCAGGGAGAAAATAACCTGTTAGAGGAGTCCGCACGGTGTGAGGGAGGAGAGCATTGTGAGTGGCCGGCGTGTCACAAAAGGCCAGGCTCTGCTCCTGCACCGCCCTGCTCGGCTGTGACAGATCAGGAGAGTGGTGTGGGGGCGGAGACAGCTGTCAACAGTCACAGGAGGCCAGGGCAGCTGTGCGGGGGAGGAGTCAAAATAGACAGAGCTCTCCTCCCCGCACTGCCGGCTCAGCCTTCTCTAACAGCTAGTTGGGATGAAGAGTGGTTGCTGACTGCCTGTAAATAATTGAGGACAGAGTATGTTTACTGTGTCCCCAATTATGAATGAATAGGAAGTGCTCTACCTTTCATGATTGTGGATATGCTAAACATATTATCTCCACAAGTTATGAATAAACAGGAACACTCAGTATAGAGGACTCCTGTTCATTTATAACAGGGGATGCAGAAAAAAGAGATTGATGACTGTGTCCACAATCTCTTTTCTATTTTCAAGGGAAATATCGGGGGTCTAGACCTCTAATATTTCCCCAGAGCCCCCGACAGTAAAGTTAAAAAATAAAAATGTGTATTAAAAAAAAGATTAATTAAAAAGTTTAGAAAAAGTAAAAAAAGTTAAAAAGGTTAGAAAAAAAATAATTTTCGGTTTCGGTCTGACTTTTTTTTTTCGTTTTAAAAAAATTTAATTTTGGTGCACCTGTAGTAAAATCATTTTAGAACATTTGGTTGTAGTGTATGACTATATGGTAGATACTCATGTGACAAAAAAGCGGATATCTAAATATGAAAACATTATTAGTAAATGCCTATAATAATCCTGTCAGCACTGTCAGAATAAATGCCCAAAAAAGCAAGTAATAATCATTGTGGATAGATATACCTGTATACCATATAAATAGGCCTTAATATACTCATATTAAACCTATCCTGTGTCCTTAACAAACGGTAGTTCCTACATAAAAATTACCATATGAACTCATTATTTTAGGGTAACCGTTTAACTAATGCTACTTTTCCTTCCTAAATAATAATGTAGGCAAGCTATGTATTACAGTACTGTCACAGTGCAAAAAAAATAAAATAAACAAACAAAAAAAATAAATAAATAAATCCAACCCCTAGTCGCTAGTGCAATTTAATTACATTTCATTTAATATAATTTAACTGCAGGGCAGAGTGAAAGCTAATCACTGGGAAACTTATTCCAGGGCGGTTGTAACTTCTTCCAGGGCGGTGGTATAAATTAAATTTAGTTTAACAAACAAGTTATTGAACGTGCCACTTGTGAACCACTAAACCTTAGATAAATAAATACACAAATAAGTAGTTTCGATTTACATAAAAATTATATAAAAGTAAATAAATAAATAAATAAATAAGAAGGGTTAATTAAAATAATGTCTTCCATGGGTGGGTATGCAACCAGGTGCATGTCGTGCGCAATGTATGCGTTCCTTGAACATGCGTTCGAGGGGGAATACATTTGCGCGAGATGTGAGCGAGTTGCTTGTTTGGACACCCAGATTCTGGATCTAAGCAAGAAACTGGCAACACTTAGGAGCATAACAGTCATGGAAAAGAGTCTGGACATAATGCTCCAGGCTGTGGTGGAGGGGGGGTTGAAGGAGCAGGATCCCGAGGTGGGGAGCTGGGTTACTGTTAGAAGGCGTGGGAGAGGGAAGAGTGCTAGAGATGTCAGCCCTGATCTGGTTCACCCCAATAAGTTTGCCAAGTTGCATGATGTTGGAGATACTAGTTCAGGGGGACTCTGCTGGAGCAGGATGCATCCTATATCGGGAGGGGGAGTGACTGCTCCAGCGAGGGGAGTCGGATGGAGGGTCAGGAGAGGCAGATTCTGGTGGTGAGAGACTCCATCATCAGGTGGACTCACAGGGTAATCTGTCATCGGAACCGTGAGTGTCGAACAGTGTGCTGCCTACCGGGGGCCCGTGTTCGACACGTTGCAGAGCGAATTGACAGATTACTAGATGGGGTTGGGCACGACCCCGTTGTCATGGTGCACATCGGCACCAATGACAAAATAGGAGGAAACTGGAGTGTCCTAAAAAAGGAGTTCAGAGACCTAGGTGCTAGGCTGAAGGAAAGGACCTCCACGGTAGTTTTCTCAGAGATACTACCGGTGCCAAGAGCCACTCCGGACAGACAGCGCGAGTTGAGGGAGCTTAACAAGTGGCTTCAGAGCTGGTGTCAGAAGGAGGGATTTGGTTTCCTGGAGAACTGGGCTGACTTCGCAGTCGGCTATCGGCTCTACAGCAGAGACGGGCTGCACCTTAATGGGGGAGGTGCAGCATTTCTGGGGGGGAAAATGGCAGAAAGACTGGAGGAGCTTTTAAACTCTGAAATGGGGGGTGGGCTTAAAAAAAGTTACTTAAATCAAATGGACAAGCAACATTGGCAACAAACTGTTTGAGGTTAACTCAATTACAAAGAGGCCACCACCTAAAGTTGGAGAAAAAATTCCAGCACAATGGGCGGAGAGGGTTCTTTACAGTAAGAGCGGTTAAGGTCTGGAACTCACTGCCATCGGCAGTGATTTCAGCCAAGAGTGTAGATTTGTTGAAGAAACTTTTGGACAATTTCTTGAGGGACCGTAATATCCAGGGATACCAGTATCCCTAAGAAGGAGATGATGCGTGGACCTATATGGGTTGGACTTGATGGACGCATGTCTTTATTCAACCCCAAATACTATGTAACTATGTAGCTTAGTCACTCCATAGTTGCTGGCACAACATCCAGACATTATTATCCAGACCAATAATAACCAAAAGGTAATAAAGTATCTTATATAGACTATTTTCATGTTCTCCCTCAAACTGCCCATTAATTATGTTTCCTGTCAGCTCCATGGCAGCACGCGAATGGGTTAACCCCTCCCTCATCCCCCTGATCAGGATTGTAGCTCAAAAATTTGAACGAGTCGCCCAGCTAGCTGTTCTTTTTTCCCCCCTCCCTAATCTACAGGTTGTTTTGCAGTGTGCCTACCTTGCGAGGATAACGCCCTTGCTGTCCGCCATCTGCTGGTTGGTGAAGTCCCTTCTCTGATGTCTTAAATGGATAAGTGGTTGTGAGTCCCCGCTGGCGATCCTCGGGGCAAGCTAGCCAGGTGCGAGGCACTATGGAACTGCGGTATGGGGAAGCTTTCCTAAGCATCTGCGGGAGTTATGTCCTATCCTTCGTTTTTTGCAGCGTGGAGTGCTCCTACCATTCTCTATGGGGCTAGAAGCTGTGAGGTCCAGCCGCCAGCGGACTTCCGGTTTCCGGCCGTGGTTTTGTTTCCGGCGGCGGGGTTGGAGTGCACCAGATGCGCTCCGGTTCCATCTTCTGCCGCTGGATGGCCTGAAGTGCGGGGCCCGGGAGGCCCTTGACCGGTACAAGTGGGGAACGCAGGTGCGTTCCACTGTTCACTGCTGCTCTCTGGGCGGAGACACCTGCCAGCAGGTATTTAGTCTGCTGGGTGCTCTCCATGTGGCTGAATGTGTTTGGTGGTTGTTCGCTCCTACCAGCCAGCCGGGTCTGTGCTAACTCTGCCTTCAGGTGTGTAGTTCTTACTTTTTGGGCACCAGTTGTATTTATTATTTATCCATGTTGCATATTGATCAGTCATGTTACTTACAGCATGCCCCTGGACATGTCTTCCCCAGCAAAAGATTGCCAGTCACAGAGAAGGTGGGCACCTGCTTCTTTGCATGGATCATAGGCTAAGGTTAGCATTATGTTTCTTATCGTTTCCTTCTTTTCAGTTCTAGGTCCGGGTCTCGGCATGGCCGTGAGCGAGGACGGTCCTCTGTTTCCAGTCAGGGGAGGTCTCCTTCTCCTGCAGCTAAGCGTTTGCATCGTTACGATAGGAGGTCTCCGTCTGTAAATCAACGGATTCCCTCTGCACAGCCAGGGCCCTCTCATCATCCACAACCCCACCCTGGGTGGTGTTGGGCTTGCCCTAATAGGGCCTCGCCAGGGAAGACTGCTTGCCAGTCATGTTTTATGGAGACCACTAAGGATAGGGATGCGGACACCTCACAAGTCATGTCCATGATGAAGACGGTCTATCAGGACACCTTTTCTGCCGCTCAGGCACTGTCGCCAGAGGCCAGCTTCCAGGGCTAGGCCGTGGCCGTCCGGAACTATTGGCTCTAGTAAAGGCTGTGATTCTTCTCGTCCCCATTCAGATTCTTCCTCTTCTGAGGATGAGAATGACCAGTTTGAGGGGTTTGATTTTGCCTTAGTCCAGCCCTTCGTTAAAACCGTTCGGCAGGCTCTTCTTTGGGAACAGGCTGTGGAACAGCCTGAGAAGAAGAGACTGTATTTCAAGCATGTTAGGAAGGAGATGTTGTCATTCCCCTTCATGGATGAAATCAAGGATAATATCCAGGAAGAATGGGGTCAGGTAGAGAGGAAGGCTTCCTTTCGCAATAGGTTCTCCAAGTTGTATCCCTTTAAAAAAGAGGAGTTTAAGCACTTGTCGTGGACGCAGCCCTCATGAGACTGGCGAGGCATGTCACGTTGCCTCTGGACGATGCCGTCACATTTAAAGATGTGTTGGATCGGAGGGCGGACCTGGATCTTAAAAAGATCTACCTTATGACCGGGGGTGCCTGCAAGCCCACTGTTGCCATGGTAGCAACCTCCAAGGCCCTGGA